TATATATATTATAATATATATTAAAAATTATAATATATGCAAGCCCTTGATTTCTTTCAGTGAAGTGTGTTATGAATTCTTACATACTTCATTAGTGTCACATGACCAAAAAGTTGGAAAGTACTGTTATATAGTAATTTGTAGTCTCTCTTTTTTTATTTTATACTATTGTTTTTTTTTGTCCTTAGCCCAGCTAATTGAAACAATGTTAAATTTTCTTCGATTTAATGCTTTTTTTAACTTACATTTCCCTTGATTTTAATTCCAAATCGACGCTCTGTTGCAACAAAAATTCTAACAACAGAGCAAATACACAAAATCTATGATTGTAGAACGGTGATAAAGACCCAAAAGATTATAATCGTGTGCCACACATTGGCGTGCCGTGACATTTGATGATAGGGAAGCTGTGTTTCTGTAAGAAGCCGACTTCCAGGGGCAATCAATTAATTGCACGTGATTGTCTAGGACAGTGGCGTGCCGTCGTTGGAAGCAGTGGAAGCGCCGCTTCCCTTCTATTTTCTAAAACATAAATACATATTGCGCGATTATTCTCATATTTTAACGTATTTTGGATTAAAGTTATTATTTTATTATAACCGTATTGTATATCTTATTACAAATTTCTATACTACATGTGAAAAAAGATATAAGATTGCTATTGTATATTCGAATATCAGGGACAGAATGGAAGCACTGTATTGTCGAAACTGGGTCAGCTTCCAAACAGCCAGATTATACACATTCGCGTATACGCTTTACAGAGCACTAACCTCACCCGGTTTAGTTGGTGGAAGCTACACACATATAACGCTTCCAATGATTCTATCCAGGACCGGTTCTGGGCTGTTAGCCGCCTGCCTGCTAAATATTTGGCCGGCCTCGCTCAATTATGTGAATCGCGAGTAAATTTATAACTTAACCCAACCGATAGGAATTTACTGGTATGTTTTTATGATAGTTCTGTAATATTTTAATTCTGCTCTCCCATCTTATATTACTTACATATTTCACCATTAAACCAGTGATATTACGAATTAGTATGTCCCATCTCATCTATAAGGGGATGTAGAAAAAAATGTGTACAATTCTTCTACAATGTTAAAAAATTAACTGTTACTTTGGTAGATCATTTACAACTACAGTAGAGCATCGATTATCCGACCCCCGATCAATCGTCACATCGGTTAACCAATCGCATTCTAGTCGGCAAATTCAAATGTCCGCTAGTGATGTGGCGCTACAATATTTGGCTATGTCTTGGCTATTTTAATAGTATTTTTACGTGTTTTAGCTGGCAACACTGACTCGACCATGAAAGGGAGCCAGTATTTAAACGAGGCTTAATTTTCTAATTTTTAACGATACAATAGCGACGATTATTATTTTAAATTTTTGTTCGATCGATGAAAATTCAATGCGAAGTAGGTTAATAGCGATATACAGTACTAATATACTATACTAATAATGTATTTTTTCATATTTTTCGGTTATCCGTTTTTTCAGTTATCCGATCAACCCCGGTCCCCATTGAGTCGGATAATCGATGCTCTACTGTAAATTTAATGAGTAAGAGAGATGCACGAGGTACAGAAATAGCTCTAGAATTTATTTTCCTTAAATTTAGGATTTATCTATCCGTTGTCATAAAAATTTGTCTTTCCACTTTTTTTCCCGAGACTACAAATATTCGTGTACAAAGTAACCGGTTTCGACTTATTTCTACTTAATTAAGTAGTAGTTAAACAATTAAGCGATTAGGGAATTGGGGACAAACAAAATCCTGCTGAAAGAGCCGGAATTGTACTTAAACAAAAGCTTAACCGAACCAATCTCTAGCTGAGTACAGTGGAGACTGATTTCTTCGTTATATTAGATAATAAAGACAGAATTTTTTCCAGTTCGACGAGAGTGACCAAAAAGTTGTAAATTTTGGAAATTTCCGTGGACATGTGGTCCTAAAACGAATTAGTTAGAAAACAAATGACTATTAAGTTTAACATATTTAGATTTTTACAGCTATGGCGAGAAACGTTTAAAATTTACAATAACCCTGTCGCCTCCTTTGAGATATACTAGTGATGCAACAAAAGAAGTATTTGACATTGACCGGTATCGGCACCCTCGGGATTTGGCAGTCCACGTGCCGTGCAACCTACTCTGATTCCATCCATTAACCACTCGTAGGGAGCTATTTGACTAAGTGGATTGTTTTAAGATTTTAAAATAAAATAATATTTTATGTTATTTTTATGTACGTTTCATTATAAAGCTATATTTAATTATAATTTTCTTTAAAAGTATATTCATACATTTGAAGAATATTTTGTACCAGGTATGTACTGTACATACATCCACCATACATTTTACCAAGTAAGTTATTATTATTTTACTTTAAATTCTAGCCCTTATATCGTGGCTAGCCGAATCGCTAGCTAGAAATCGGTATTCACGAGGATACCGATTTCTTCGTTCGTGACTGTTTTTTTTTTAATATAAAATTGCATGCAGCAGTTGTGTCACGCATGATAATAATCGCGTATCAAGGCCAACTAAAAATTTGATCGCGTTTTTCACAGATTTCTGCGTTAATTGCAAGAATTTAACTCGTTTTCTAGTAAACGGGATCAATTAAGGAAAGTTTTGTTACCGGAATAATTCACTATCACCAGTGATCATTAAGTTAGAAATTACCAACCGCAAAATTTTCAAAACCATCTTTGTTCAATTTGGTCGGTTTCTAATGCCATTGTAATCGAAAGATTTTGTGTATGTGGAATGTAGGTGTACGCCTGTGCGTGTGCGCATATCACTTACGACAGCCTGTATTCTATGATAACATTATTTTCTTATTATAACATTCAGTTAATGTATTTTTATATTTCCGTTTATTTATTTTACCAATTAAGTAACTTTTCCTTTTAATTGAAAATCTTTAAATTGTTAATAAATTAAAAGAATGAAAAATTTAATTATCATTATTCATAGTTTAACTCAATGGTTTTTAGTAATTCGAAACGATGGACGAAATTAATCTAATTATACATCTACATTATAAATTTCATAAATTCATTATTCAGAATATTTCAACTTTTTAGAAGAAAATATCTTCCACGCCGCACTTTTTCTATAACAGCTGCATCATTATTTTCAGTTATAATTTTAACTTAAAAAATGTAATTATATATATATGGATTTATATATATTTGTAAATTTATACGCTAGATAGAATTATCTCTTAATTTAAATTCGTAATTTTACTGAACTTTCACATAAAAACAAATTATGATCATTACACAGTTTTGTTCACAATATGTCAAATTCAGTATCGTGCATGCAATACCACATCTGTTAAAAATAAAAATATGACATTGCATGATGCTAACGTATGAATGAAGCATAATGCGTCAATGTCACATGACGTAACGTCATATTTATTGTAAGTAAGATTATGACATTGATGCCATAAGATTGATAATAAATAAATACTAAATGATTTATGTCATATCAAAGAAAACAATTTATTTAAAAATTTCAATTGTTTAAAATATTTTTTAAACTTTTAGAAGAAAGATATCGATATATGTATTCAATTATACGTATTTATATAGACTTATATGATACGTATTAATAATATATTAGATACGACTTAAACAGAGACGAGAAAATTTAAGGTTATTTATAGATAAACGAATTGTTTTGAAATGCGAAGAGTTCCTTACATCTTATGAAAGATTTTTGTTATTTAATAATCTGACTATTATTTAAATATAAAACATGATAGCTGATCTCAGACATATACAGGTATACCTCGACTTACGTCGTTCTCAATTATACGTCGTTTGTCAAAGTATACGGAAAAATAAAAATCAAGTTTAAGTCATTTTATTCGACTTTACGTCCGTCCGCCACATATATTGAAGTCGTAATATCACTAAAAAAGCGTTTAAAGCACATAAAATCATATTAAAATACATACATTTACAAGTATGTACTGTATTTACAGTACATACTTGTAAATTTAGATTACTTTTTTCTGTACTATATTAAAAACTAAAATTTATTTATGCTTCTAACACAATAAAGTGCTACAAATTAAGACACTTGGCAGGTTCTCTCATCTTTATTTAGTTGATACGTGTGAAAAAATTTACACGTTTCGGGCTTTTAAGCCCCTCTTCAGCCAACTAAAACATTAAAAGAGGATATAACATACTTAATGTTATAGTTGGCTGAAGAGGGGCTTAAAAGCCCGAAACGTGTAAATTTTTTCACACGTATCAACTAAATAAAGATGAGACAACCCGCCAAGTGTCTTAATTTGTAGCACTTTATTGTGTTAGAAGCATAAATAAATTTTAGTTNATTTATGGTTTAGCCTAGTGACAAGTAGATTCGGAGACAAGTAAATTCGACTTACGTCGCCTTTCCTGGAACCAATTACCGACGTAAGGCGAAGCATACCTGTATTTATAAAAAATAATTATAGTTTGAATTTTTAAAAACTTTCAAAAACTGATATAAATTCAGTAAAAATTATACATAGGTTCCGTACTGTCGAGTTATAAATAAGATATCGTTATTCGGCATTTACTGTATATTCTTGAGATTAAATAGATTATATGTAATTCATTTCACGTATTTTAATTATTATTATTTTAATTAAATCAGAATTAAATTAACTAAACAGCATAAAATATTTAAAAATCTGTTTAAGTTCGCCTATTTTATTATTATAAATTGAAGAGAAAGTAAATAAATTAATGCTATCAAAGAAAAATTGCTATCACAAAAGTTAGATTTCATTCTCATCAGAAAAACAATTTTTAAAAATATTGATTATAACTATGTTACCAGTAATAATAATTATTAAGAAAATTACATATTCTCGCTTTATAAAATGTAATTTTCTTAACTACAATGACGAAACGATTATAAAAATTTACGAAGTGGGTTAACATATAAATTATTTTAATGACTAATACAATTTTAACTAGTTAATTAGTTAATTGCCATTTTATTATATAATTCAATGATTTAATTTATTAATTTAAAAATCTAGTTAATCATCATTAATTTGATCTTACACGATAATATAACAATAACTAACTTTCAAGAATATATATATTTTTATTTATAATTATTTAATACTTCATTTAAGTGAATGAATTAAAATATAAAATTGATCGAAACAATTAAGGCTTTATCCCGCCCCAGAAATTTTTCACGGGTGGTTTATATTCTGTCTTTCACCACCCTTTCACTCCCATTGTGGATCTAGCTGAACCCCATACTGCATAAGAACATATAAGATTATTTTATACTGATATAAAAAATAAAATAAAATAAATAGGGAAATGAATAAAAGCTATATATATATAAAGAGATTTTATTCGTTTCTTTATTATATTTAAATTTGTATTATTAATTTTATTACATTTAAAGTATAAATAATTCTATAATATGTATAGAAATTCTACATGGAGTATTAATTGTGCGTTTTATTATCTTATATAAAAGCTCTTATATAAAAATTATTATTATTCTAGAATAGTCTTTTTCGTAACTTTTCCCCTCTCTCTTTTTTCTTCGATACAAAAACTCATCTGGATGAAATTTGATAACATTCCATTCTTTTAAACAAACGTTTTTTACCCGAGTTGTTAAAATTTATATATCACACATTTGTATCGCTCGTTATTCAATGCTTTTAACCTGAATGAAACTCGTATCCCGGAAAAGGCTGCCTATTCAAACTGCTCACTCACTTTAATACCATTAGCTTCTTCGTTAACTGCGCTATGAATTCGATGCTCATCGTCTTGCTTCTTCTTCATTTTGCCATTTATGGATCATTTAAGAAATATGAGGAGAAAGAAGGTAAAGATTTTAATTGACAATTTTTAAAATTTTATATTGATATAAAGCATAATGACTTTTTTCTTTTTGAACGAATTTTCTATTGAATTTACTTTTATAATTTCCTGCTATAAACGTTCTTTTGTTCTCATATATATTTATATATATTTAAATTAAAGATTTAGTTAAAAATAGATTTATTTTCGCAGATATTCGTTTTCTATTATATACTAGGAAAAACCCTATGGCTCATATTCTCGTTGTCGGGAATAATGAAACATTAATTACTTCAAACTTTGATCCCATTCATGCAACTATTTTTCTGGTTCACGGCTATATGACTAACGTAGAATGGTCGCCGCAATGGAGAGTAAGTCATTGTTTTATGTTTGTTTATTGAAATCAAATTTAAATCTTTGAAAATCTTTAAAAATCGTCTAGTTTTTATTTTAGGAAATGAGAAAAGAGCTGCTAAATCGTGACAATTTTAATGTCATTGTTGTTGATTGGTTAACACTAAGTTCAGTTTCTTATGAAAAAGCAGCATCAAATGCAGAAACTGTGGGAAAAGAAGTAGCAAATTTAATTAAATTTCTTAAGGTAAAAAAATTTCTATATCATTACATTTCTTAAGATAAAAAGTAGATAATTTGTAAAATAGTTATTAAAATCAAAATTTTTTAAAAGAAAATCTAGAAGGTTTCTGTTAAATGTAATCTTACTGAAATTAATTTAATAACAAAAACTTTGTAAATAATTATAACTTTTATTTACCAAAACAAAATCTTTTTCATAAAAAGCATCCTAAAACTCAAAATTATCCAATTCTCATATTTAAAATAATAATAATCGATATGTTACCGCTAAAGCTCGAAAGTCGTTAATGTGTACATTACCTAGTTAATCTGCAGATTAAAGTTGTGAAAACTGTTCCATTTCTCAAATTACCTAGATAATATGCAGAATATCTAGGTAATCCGCACATTACCTACTAGGCACTCGGTAAAGTGAAAATAAGATCTTTGCCACAAATAAATGTACCACAAATAGGTGTGCTTGTCGCAGAAACCAATTGCTATGAAATTCAAAGTGTCACCAATCTTTAGACTGCACAATTGGATAATTGTGATAAATGTCTCTGGTTCCAGCAAAGAGAAGAAAGGAAACAGTGGGGACGCACGTTCAAACCTAACCTAACCTATTCTAATAATTTGGTTGGTAATAATTATGGTAATTTATTAGAATAGGTTAGGTTAGGACAGAACGTGCGTCCCCACTGTTTCCTTTCTTCTGTTTGCTGGAATCAGAGACGAGCCGCCATTTTACTCACCATAGGTAACATTAACTGCACAATTACATCATGCGATCACCAGAAAAAGTATGATAACTTTATTATTTTTCGTCTCCGGTCCAAAAGTAGGGTATCGTTGAAGTCGTCTCGGTCCCCTCAGTTCAGATAGATACTCAAAGTCCCGAAATTCCATAGGTGGTTATCTATATAATAATTTCCCTAATTGTATTAATATTTTAAATCGTTTGATTTTTTGTATGTTTTTTAATTGGTTGATGATTGATTCTATCAACTAATTTGTCGATTGTTTGATTGTATTAACTTGATTCTTTAGATATCGAAAATTAAATAAAGAACATTATGTTAATTTAAGCGTACAGAAACGTTGCTGTTGTTTCAGCAAAGATCTTATTTTCACTTTACCGAGTGCCTAGTAGGTAATTTGCAGATTACCTAGATAATCTGCACATTACCTAGGTAATTTGAGAAATAGAACAATTTTAGCAACTTTAACGGATCACGCTAGTTAATCTGCAGATTAGCTAGGTAATGTACACATTAACTTTAGAGCTTTAGCGGTAACAGATATACTGTATAATAAATATCGAGATACTATATATATATATTGTAACAATCTATACATTACAGAATTCTGTAAGGACCAATCCTGTAGATGTCCACATAATAGGTCATGGTATAGGAGCACATATTGCTGGTTTTGCAGGAAAAAAAATAAAAGTCGGGCGAATAACAGGTAGTTTTGTCAAAGTCTCAGAAACAAAGTTTACTTGTTTATTTCTTCGTATTTCGTAATATCCAGTTTATATTTCAAGGATTAGATCCTGCTGTTGCATATTTTAAAAATGTTCCTTCAAATCTTCGCCTTGATAAATCGGATGCATATTTTGTAGATGTTATTCATACTGACATTGAGAATGCAGGAAGTTCTGGTAGGTGTAAATACAATTAAAGTAGGACGAAATGCAGGAAAATTATTTAAATATATATTTTCCTCTCTCAGGATTAGGAACTTCTGAAATCATTGGTCATGTAGATTTCTTCCCAAATAACGGAAATGATCAGCCCAATTGCAGATTGCAATCATCAGATTTAATAAAAGGTAAGTGTATGAAATTTAATTTAAAATAATCGTAAAATTTTTTACGATTATTACTTATTGTTTAATTAAAAATAAGTATTATCTTATTTATCATTTGAATTGACCAAAATTCACAATCATCATCCAAATGAGTTACTAATTCTTTTTTATTTTTGACTTTCCTCCCTTGGGTACTAAGAGGTCCTTTTTCTCTATTTCTAGCATGGGTTTGGTAGGTCCCCAATGGTGACAAGTAAGTGGTAAGGGACGGGGACCGACGCATCTGTGACAAACCACTCTTCGAAAAATTCCTGGGGATTGTTCGCTCGGACTCAATCCTGGGTTCCTAGTCTTAACCCCCCTCGACCGTTCCAAATTTTAATTTTTAATTTTTAAAATGTATTACAATGTATTAAATAAAAGCTGGCAAGGATTCTTTCCAGGCATTCAAATAGGGAGGTTAAGAGGACTATTAGGAAATCCAATAATTTTAAATTTTATATCCTAGTATAATTGAAGTAATAACAAAAGCTTAAAAGGGGGTAATTTGTCGAATTATGATAAAAAAAATCTCTATTAAAAGATATTTAAGTTTAAAAAATAAACACTGACACTAGCTCAAAGTTAAAATTGTGTGTGGCGTATCTGTTACAAGATATTATTTTAAAAGTAACTTTTATATTATTAATTATTATAAAAAGAAAAAAACGACCTTATTTAGATGGTAGAGATGAGTTTTTAAAAATATTGTAAATGCAATAACGAGTAAATTTTCATTAAGCCCGACTTCACTCGAAGTATGTCACATGACTTCTTCTATATCCCTCGAGTTTTGCGCACTAATATTTAATAAAATCAATGCCCTTTATATATAAGTTACCATGCAAATTTTGTTTAAGCTTTACCCCATCCTGAGATATTAAATGAAACATACAAATACAGAATTACCACCCTTTTTTATTTTGGGGGTTCTGGGGCTCAAAACGTCCAGATTTGCAAAAATCCGGAGGGTCAATAATACTTTCCCGTGTTATAACAACTGGGAAGTAATAGGCTACAAATAAATTATTTTTGTAACGTAGAAAATAATAGTGGACAACACTAACAACAGACATGTTTTTAGATCTATCGTTAACAGCATGCTTATTTAACTTTTATATAGTTTACTGAGGTGTTTCAAAACGAAGATTTATTTCATTAATTATATATTTAGAAATTACTAACATTTAAAATTAATCGGACGCAATTCTGGAAGTTTTAGTTTTAAATAATTTATAAGCAGATTTCGAATTAAAAATTTGTTATTGGCTTTCAGGAGCTTCGTATAATTACGACTGTGACCATAATCAAGCTCTAACTTTCTTCATTAATTCTATAAACAAATGTAATTATGTTGGCATCAAATGTCCGGACTGGATCTATTTTTTATCAGAAAAGTGTTTAGACTGTGGACCAAGCAGTGCAAACTGTGCTTTAATGGGTTTCAACTTGGATCACAGACAAATTAATTTCGCTGCAAGAAGAAATGTTTTCTTTTTGAAAACATCTATGTATTCACCATTTTGCGGTAAATAAAACTTTTATCTATAGATGTTTAATTAATTAATAATTAATCATCAAATTAAAGTTAAGAATATTTAATGGAATACACATTAATTTATTTTTATGATTTGATAGGAATTTGACGACAAAATAATTTTCTAAAGGAAAAAACATCATGCTTGAATGCTGTGAAAGAACTGTATAATTTGTGAATTTGTTTGTGTGATTTTAACAATAAATAGATATAATATAACAATACTAATATACACTGACGCATTATTAATAAATTCGTTTTACACTTGTTGTATAATTCTGATTATTTTTGCGATTTTGTTATGTATTTTATTATACACATATTACAGTATTATCAAAATGATACTTTTTAAATTAAATTTTGAATTAAAATAATTATAGCACATTTTTAATAACTATATACATACGAACTTATTACATTCATTTTAAAAATAACACACAGAGTTAAATAAATTCATATTTACTTTATCCACATCAGTGTTGCTATGTAACAACTAAAATCAGTAGATAAGATCATAAATTTTCGGCAGATTTGAATCGATTGAAATGCAAACCTTAAATATCTCGATACAAAGAACTGGTGTCTTACATAATAAACGATCCATAACTTACGTGAGTTACCATTATTATTTTACATTACAAATGACGTTGTTAACATTAAATCACAAGTTTTAATCTTCAAATTCAAAATGTCTGTACATAATGTATTACTATATATTTTATAGGCCTAATTGCTATTTTCTAAATACTTAAGTTTAGCTCCACACTCGAGAGGCAAACAAATGGTGGCGCCAATTTGAAGTTTCATAGTATCTCACTCTACATATCTACATGCAATTGATCTATATTTTAACAGTAAATATTCGTCAAAAAATGAAAATGACATGTATCGCGTAATTCGTGCAAAATTCGATATGTCCTCGTTTACAAGAACAAATGTATATATATTGGTATTGTCTGATAAGGAAATTTTGAAGCTAAAATGTTTTGTTATCAAATTTAATTCTGACATTATATTTTAATGATTTAAATACATTTCTTTAATAATTTACTTATTATAGTTTAATAGTTTTTCATATAATTTTAATATTTTATTCTGACTATGGCTTCCTAGAGTTTTCTCTGGTTCCTCAAAAGTTGATTTTTGGCCTGTGGCTCCTTTGAAATGTTCTATGGTCCACGTTTGAAAAACACTGCTTGCTATACATAATAATTTCAACTGATATACGGTCAAAGAGAGTGAGCAAAATCGTGCCCCCACACACTAACATTCATACATACAAAATAAAACCCCGCGAATTTTTTCGCATTTCTGGACGTTTCAAAATCCTCCGAGTCCAAAAATACAAACATCTTGGGGGAGGTCATTTTTTGACCGATCGCCATACCTTCTCTATTATAACAGAAATGGAAAAGTAACGATTGACTAGTAACATCTTTATGTTACACTAAATGTCAAAAATGAATAATGAAATGATGATAATTTTAATCACAAACAAAATGATAGTTTTTATTATGCATTAAATGTATATACATTAATATAATACTGTAATAATATTAGTTACAGATATTCATTGTACAGTATTTCGGAATGCAAATATATAATACAAATTAGTCTTTAATTCAATCCGTTCTTTTCATGCGCGACAGATTAGCAACCAAAAAATCAGGACACACAATCACCAAATACCTTTTTATTTTGTTAACTTTAAGTCGAAATCGCATTCGGGTATGCTGTTTAAAAATTCGCTGCTTAACATCAAAGGTTAACGTAAAATCGAGAAATGCTAACTAAATTGAAGTATAAATTCTATTGTATGTTTTAAAAATATATTTCGATTTTAATTAAATACATGAATATAAAAATCAACTTAATTAGTAAATATTTTATTTAAAATGGAAATCTATTTCACGTCTGAAATAATAAAAACTTAAATTACAACTATGAACATTTTAAAAATTAAAAATAATCACTCTTAAATATGAAATTATTGTATTAAAAACGATGATTATAAAAATAATTTTCTTATAAATTTCACATGAATTTCTTATCAAACAATCAAAAGTATTCGTTTACAACATTATTTGAACTTCATCGACATAAACCGGTTTTTGAAGTTGAGGCAAAAAATTTAGAACTAATCTAAATGCAGACATCTTCGCACTAATCAAATCTTGACTTAGTTCCGTTGCTAACAACAATAAACTATCGATCATCATTATAAGTACAGTAAAGAAGGACAATGTATTTATATTGGTACTGAATATTAAGTTTAAGCTGAAGATTTCATTTAGTATCTAGAGGAAAAAATATAGCTATTAATTCAAAAAATGATTCTTATTGGCACAACTAGAAAATAAGATTTCTTAAAATTTACATAAATGTTACATAAAGCTTACATGAATTCTAAAAGAAATTATTTTGGATTGATGGAATAAGACAACGGTATAGAAAGTCTTCCAGGAAGACTTTCTACGGGAAACTGTCCCCTATTTGTGTGTTATACACGTGAAGAAAACCCGGAAAATTCCATTTGGCCAGCCCGTTGGCGAGGCGCAAACTCGTGACTATCAGTTTTAATGATTTTATTCACTCGGCCGCTAATAGGCTATTATATTTAAAACACCAGCTGATAGAGCAATGGTTTCAATTCGGTGCCGCGAAATATAGTGTTGAGCAACGTCCTAACACTTTTTACGTGTGTTACTAAAAGCACGAAAAGTGCATTAACTCTACATTGATAAAGAAGTAGGGCTGCCGCAAGAAAAAAAATGACTAAATTGTGAATGGCATTATTAGAAAAAGGTTGAAAAACACTATGATAGAGAATAAAAAGTCTATTTTTTCATATATTTAGGAAAATTATTTGTGTAGAAGAGAATAACGAAGGAAGAACGACTAAAATTCAAAGAAGAATTGAGAGAAGAAATTGAAATTTCATGCTCAAGATCCTAAGCCGGGTCGGATTTTCACATAAGCTAAACAAGCTACCTTTTAAGGCCTCACGTTATGGAGGGTACAGCTTAGGCCTTCACAATTTTACATTTATCATTATTTGCTAGAAGAGAAGGGCCTGTTACGTTATACATTATGGCCTTAGAAAGTCTAACTTGTATATCCACTTTGATCGCATATTTTAATTAATTAAAATGTTAATTTATTGAAAAAACAGTAATATCAAGTTTCGGTTCATTACTTATCTGAATTAAAAAAGTGTCATTTTTAAATCATTTAAGAAAATTATCTAGCAATTTATAAATAGCTTTAAATGATAAATATTTAATAGTAATGTCTAAATTATTTAAAAACAAAACAAAAATTCCCCCAAATTATTATTAAATAAAATGAAATTTTATAAAATAAATTTCTTTCTTTTCAATTTTGTGCAAAATCTCTTTAAAACATTTCACATATTCATTAAATTTAATCAATACCTTTTTCAATTGTTGTTGAGAGAAGATAATTGCTTTCCATAATTTTCTTTTTGTTGATTCTACCAAAATACAGTTAGTAATATGTTAGAAAAATAATAATAATTAATGTAATTAATTAAAAATAATGAAAATTATTACTTTACTTACTTAGTATTTTTAAAAATGATATTGCTGTTTTGCATACAAAATTCACATTAGTGTCAATACTTATCATCATTTTCTGTAAAAATTCGGTATCTTGTTCTTAATCTCTTTTTAAAAAATTGTGTTTTTAAAAGCAATTTAACCTTATTTTCTGTCCATTAGTTTTGTTATTTCGTTTAAAAAATTCAAGTCATAGTTATTCCTTCTCCCTCGCGGTTCTCTTTCACGCAATTTCCATAATTTCTAAAGTTATTTTCATAAGACGAATAAAAATTCAAATATTTAACAATTATTTTAAATATATTAAATTTCAATATTGATTAAGTGCACATTTTTAATTTTGTTAAAATGGAATATTTTTATTTCTATAAATTATTGTTGTTATTGTTAAATTTTATAGTTATTTTATAATTTAATTTTTATTGTCGTGATTTATAATTTTAACATTAAAAAAAAGTTGAAAAATATAAACTTCTCGAATTTATTTTAATGGAAGAATCCCAGGAATTTTTCATAGTATCAAATTTATGATTTCCAGTTTCGCCAGTAATGGACGAAATTGTGGACAGTCTTAACTCCTAAATAAGGGCCAGTTTTCCATTGAAAGTCCTCTCGGGAGGCAACTCCTTGGAGATCGTCCGTGTTGTGTTGTATTATTTCATTAATTCCAATCCATTCTAGAACGGCATCTCCAAAACTTTAAATTTTCGAGAAAAAATAACTTTGTGATCTCTTCGAAACACTGCATTGAATTTGCAGAGAATCAATATACACATTCTGAATTTCATTGAGGATTTCTGATTCTTCAGAAAAAAGTTACAGCTATTGGAAGAAATCAATGATGGTAGCAAAGACTTTCTATTTTGTTGCAGCAGTTTGTTATAAAGGAGTGGTAACATTGACCAAAAAGATAAAAGAACGGGGAAAGAACTAGCAGCATCACTTTTTGAATCTTCCCAGCGGACAAGAAGGACGAGTTCGACCACGTGGCCAGAGCAATCCTAACTTTGTTAATGTATTCTTTTTGAATTTTGCTTAGATTAAAAGAAGTCTTGTTTGTTGTATTTCGAATATCGCTTTTTTGTAATTGGAACCTTCTGAGCTAATAGAAAAGGCATGCCCGACCATGTGGCCAGCACATGAAATGATGTTGATTTGACCTACGAACTTAAATCTGTTTTTGAAAAACATTAACACAGCTCAATTAAGTAATTTCTAAAATACTGTTTAGAAGATGATAATTTGAATGGATTCAACATCCATTCAATACTGAGATCGCACCTGAATTTATCTCTGCAGAAGAAAATTTTATTGAGTAGTTTTGTGGCAAGACAAAAAATCGAAATTTGGCAGCATAGAGAAACAGAGTTTTGAATATCAATGAAAGATGAATATCCGCTACTGAAATAAAGCTTAACAAATTTCTCTTGCGATGCAAAGCAGGATTTTCGGCGATTGCATATAATGTGCGAAAATCGGTGCGCAAGAAATAAACGAGTGGCAGTGTCAAATTTGATTCTAAGGTTTATAAAGATGTAGTTCCAAACAGCTACATAAATAATTGTGTGTATTTTAAAACGAAATAAAAATATTTTGCTCTTATGTCTGTATGATTTTTTCAAATGCCTGCCGAGTTGTTTGAATGCAACTACTTAATAAAGCGAACTGCAAGCGTTAATTTTAGGAACTATGCAAGTGCTTACCTTACCATTTGCATACATTCAAGTCAACGTTTAGCTTAAATCAGAGCTACCAAACGAACATTTCTTCTGTTGGAGTCTTTCCGATCTCGTGCAGTGGATGTGATTTGGCACAAATACATTTCCAAAGACAATTTTTCGTACTGTCGAAACATTGCATTTAATGGAACAGGAAAATTGACTAAGAATTCTGTGGATTAAGAAAGTTTAAGATCTTATATTCTCAAGGAATATTGATTCAAACTAAAGACAGTGTTTTCCTTGCTTTCTCTGCCTTGTGAGCACTAAGATGGCACTTCATAGGTTCGGCAGATCCACAATAGAGCGGGTCAAATGGCGAAGGACGAAGTCTGATGTATCCGGAACAGACTTCCCGAAATATTCCTGGGGTTTTTCGAACGTTCGGATCTCTCAGAGCGGCAGGCGGACACCTTAATTTTCCCGGCCATCGGACCGGATTTTGATGAATATTTAGATTCATCAAAATAAATTGCTTAAAAATTGAAATAAATAATGTACTTCACTTGAATATTTACTACTTTCAGACGCATTTATTTAACTTGCTTTGTTTCATATACTCAATTCTTACAATTCAAATTTTATCCGCTTCTGATAGAAAAATTTAAACTTTGAGGACATACCTAAATCTGATGACTATGCATTTTGATGAGAGGTGGGGAGGATAGGATGGTGATCCCACCCCACCTCTAAATCTCGAAAAACATAACCAATAAAAGCTTTTTTTTACTTTTAAAAATATATTAAAATAGTTTCGAAATCTTTTAGATATTTGAAAAATTAAATATACCTCGTAGGCCCTACATTAGACATTCCATTAGATAATATTGAAACAAATTTGATATTTATCGCACGGAAAACAATTTCAGATTTAAAAAGAGAAATATCTATTGCAGAATGTTATAAAGATTTCAATTGAAAAAGTTCCACTTTAATTAATTAATTAATAAGGACTCGTCACAAAATGGACTATTTTTACACACGATTCTTTGACTTCTTTTGTTGTATCATTTTAAAAGTGAAATACAGTAGAGCGTCGTTTATCCGAAATAATTCCAGTCGGCCTAAAGTATAATTTTTATTTGTTTTTATATTTTTCAATGTATTTATTTCGTTTGTAAAACATAAAGAAATCATTTTTAACGATATAATAGCCACTATTATTATTTTAAAAAGTGTACGTTAGGCTTAACATCGACGAAAATTCAACGCAAAGCGACACGCAACGAAGAAAAATTTCAACACGGGATAGGTTAATATATTTTTCGCACATAATCGGTTATCCGAAAAATAAGTTATCCGAACAACTCCAGTCCCCAATTGATTCGGATAAACGACGCTCTACTGTAATCCCAAAAACGAAGCAAACGATGCCGAAAACAGAGAAGATAACTTTAGGATCGTTCAAGCAGAAGGTGGTAACTAAGGTTAGAGGAACACGAAATCTGAAATTTCCGAAATTATATTTGTACAAACAATGATCATGGGAAAGAGATATGGTAAAACATAAATTATTATTCTGGCAATATTGATAACACTTCATACGTTGATACGGATGCGAAATAATATCACAAGTAAAACTAATGTGATAGTAAATTTGATTCACTGTTTGTTTGTTAAGTTATGGCAACGCAGCGATATGCCTAGGGGGGTCTTCTGGGAGGTCTTTTTAAGGGAAACTGGTCCCTATTTAGGCGTTTCAGACGTGGAGAAAACCCGGAAAACTCCACGTGGCCATCCCATCCGAGCGAGGCGGAACCCACGACCGAACTCCCAGTGTTCAGAGTACGAAGACCGCTTGGCCACTGGTGGGGCAATTTGATTTACTAACCAGTCGAAAACGTTCGATCCAAGAATGAGAATTGACTTCTAAATCTGGAAATTTCTCCAGTTCGAAAATAGAGGTGATTTCTTTCCAAAATTTGCAATAAACATTTCTGGAATAGTTAGCTATTTCTTCTCAATATTTCTTAAAAATATCAATTGGAGGTGCGTGTATTTCTTCAGTCTAGAATTCCTGCACCGCAGAAACTGCAGCACTCGTTTTCCTCTCGTTGAAAGACAATTCTTTGTTTTTATATAATTTTAAAATAATTGAATTTCTCAAATTACATAAATTTAATACTTTTTATGATGTTTCTTGGTTTTCTTTCTTCGAAATCGTATGAAAAAAGTAAAATTATAGAGAAAGAAACGACGAATAACCAAAATAATTTCGAACGGAGCATTCTTGAGATCTTGTAGACACATTATTATTTGATGATGTAGTGATTGTTAAAGTAATAATTTGTTTAATTGTCACGAACTTCTAATTTAAAAAAAAATTAATTATCCTACTCTTCTCATGTAATTACTTCTCAGAATGATAACCCGTAGAAGAGAGGAAAATGTTTTCTCCCTCAGTTTCCGAGAATGCAATTGACCGGGTTTCAAGCTTCACCCTTATAAATCATTTCAACATAAAACCTTTTTTGTTTGCCTAGCTGCAATGAGAGGTCGAGAACCCGTTTATTCTCTTCCCATCTTAATTAAATCATCAAAAACATATTTTCTCTTCACATTTCTCGCCTTTTTGTAAAACTTTTACATCTCAACCATCTTTTCTCAACGGATTTAAGTGAGGGCTTAGGACCTCACTAGTATAATACATCATTGAAAAAGCGTTAAAGTATTCTATACTTTCGTTTCCTCCACAACCAGCATGATTGATAAACAATTTATTTTTAAGAGGAAACTTGCTACAATCAAAACAGTAAAATTAAAAAAAAAACCTAATTATAATAAAAACCTAAGGTGTAAAGCACGCAAAGATTCAAATTAAGCAATATTTTGTTCAGTTAAAGTAAATTTTGCATTTTACTAATAGTTTATATATTTGATTTATCAGAAAAAATTAATATTTAAATTTTTTAAAATTCTCAAAACAAGGAAGAGGATATAATTAGCAAGTTGAAGGATAACAAAATATAAAAACTAACAGAATAGAAGAACAGACAAAAGGAATTCTCAAATAAACAATCATTTTTTTAAACCGGCAGTTAAGAAATATTTATTCAGATTTGAAACAAAACATATAAAACTTTTAATACAACATACAAAATATAATTGAGATCAAATCAGATTTAACTTCAGTTTTATCAAACAGAAATTATTTGAAACTATCTTCTTCGATCAGCACTTTCTTTTAAGCCTTCTTCAATCACTTTTAAATCTTCACTGTCATCCTTTAAAATTTTCAGTAAATGAGAGAGACCTTCTTGTTGATTTTTCAAGTACTATAATGTAAAGAGTAATAAATTTTCATCAAGACTATAGCGTTCAGATTCTAGAAATGTAATATAGGCTAGAACTCTGAATTTCTTTTATAAAATAATCTATAAAAAGTTTCTCTTGATAAAATAGAATTAATTCTTCACTGTCATCCTTTAAAATTTTCAGTAAATGAGAGAGACCTTCTTGTTGATTTTTCAAGTATAATTTAATTTCTTCTTGTAAATTTTCATCAAGACTATAGCGTTCAGATTCCCCAAAAGCAGCACCAACATGATTCTGCATACGAATTTGAGATAATAATTCCTTTAAACGACCCTTAAATTGTGTTGGAGCATTTAACTCGGCCTGAATTGCTTCTAATTGAACTCTAAGTTGTTCTTCATCTGCTTGTATGGCATAACCATATTTACGCATAACTTCCTGTTGTGCCATTATCTTTAATACTTTATGTCCAAGTTCAATTTGATTTCTGTTTTTTTTTTTTTTTTTTTTTTTTTTTAAAAAA